TTTTCTCATTTCACTTCACCAACTTAGACTATTGTGTTCTGATCCGTCGCTTACAGGCAGAGGTACGTTGGTGGGGGAAACGCAGTTGGAAGCCGAAGACCCGTCCGCCCTTACAGACATGTCCCCGACTATGGAGGCAACCACAAGTACTGAAAGGAAACGCGATGCCTCAGGGCTAACTGTCCTCAATAAAAGCAGAATCACTTATACTGTCTAATATACATTTATCAGTGGGGTCTAATACACATGAGTGGAATCTATGGGCTTTTAAAGCTTTGCTAACTGTTGAAGTATTATCAGAATTTTTAATGGTACCTATTTTTTGTTTCTTTTTTCTTTTTTTACATTGATTTATTAAGATTTTAGAACTGACGTCATCACCCTAAACATATTTAAAAGTATTCAGAACAAAATCCTTAATCGGATTAAGTAGTTTGAAGGCAGAATGAGTCGGATTTGTCTGATGCTGTTTGTAAACACAATTCAGAGTTGAAGACCGAGGAAGCGAGCAGTGCTCAAGTGAGAGTGAATAGAAAGTTGTTGCACTATTGGTGAGAATAAAGCAGTGAATCAGAAATAAAGTTATTTTCTGACTGTTTAACAGTGGATATGCTCTAAAGCACAAATGAACACTGCCACACCTCCGTTAAACCCTGCAGGTATGAACCACATTTCATCGTGTGTGTGTCTGTTTTACGGAGGGCGAGGCAGGGCTACACACAGAGTAGAAGAGAAAGACGGGCTAACATTTGGTTGCTACATTTTACCGAATAGACATGCAAAAAAAAACAAAAGCTGTGCAACTGTGAGAATTTGAATGTTCATTAATGAAGTTTTGAACAATTCGTTACAGGCCTTTTAAGTATTAGTCAGAAAATGACTCCCACTGATCTTTAAAAAAAAAAAAGGTAATTGTTTTTTAGACTTTTATGCAAGCTCATGATCCAGGTATAACAACCACAACTTTCTGATGCCAAGATTGTTAAAGCTGGACTAATATATTGTAGGTTAATATTGGTACTTTTATTGTTTCTATACATCAGTTATTAATTTACATGTTTCACTTCATTTATAAACTGAGAACATAGTGTGTCCAGCAGACGCCTATGTTTACACTCTGCAGTATGAGCCCCATGGCCATACAGGAATAATTACTGGTATACTTATTTACATATTGTGAACTTTAAAATGAGGTGTTACAAGAGCCTCAGATTTATGACTTGTATCCAAATTATCTGTATTCTCTATGAATTAAGAATGACCTTTTACTATTCAGTATACTGTTAATACAATCCTTACAATCTGGAATGCAACTGAATTATTTTGTTGCACTGTTTAATGTCTCATGGTTAATTCTTTATCTATAAGACCATACAGGATTACAGGTCTTCAGCTGTGGTTGATCATGGGGTGGGGGGGCATACATTATATTTTTCAGATGCCCTCATTAATGATAGAATTTGTATTCTTACTTTAAGAATTAAATGTTATTTCATACCCTGAGGTTCCTGTCTATTCATTTAAACAGTCTTAAACCACTAGGGGGCCCAGTATAGACAGGCTGTTGAGCTATGAATTGTGTACCAAGTTTCCTTTAATGCAGAAACCTCAAGACACACAGCAGCTCCTAATTGTATTTTGCCTACAGGCCAGAAGATAGAGGTTTGTATAATAAATCATAATGTGGGAGAAAAGGTTTGATTTGTATGGAGCTGCGAGGTGATATGTACCAACTGAACTTAACTAATAAAAAGTTATTCAGAGTTTGACAGAGTATAGATTAATGCAGGAGCCATTTTGAGGTGCCTGACAGTTGGGTTGATGTATTTGAGCATATTTCTCAACAAAATTAATCTAATTTTGGCAAACTAAGTGACTTACAGTAGACCTTTTCAAGGTCCCTGGGAACATTCACCCTCTTTGTCCAGGTGATAATCCAGCTTTCAACTTGAGTTGATGGAATTTTCCAAATGCGGTCCCAACGTCTACAAGCCAACAGATGGCAGCACAAGCAAAGTCTTAAATCAGGCAACTTGGCAAATCCTCCAAACATGCATTGCCGTGTGGAAAAATAATTCATACATACATACATACATACATATTACACACACCGTTATGGAGCTGGAGTCCTTTCTCCTGCAGCACCTGGAACAACAGCACAGGCGGTTTTGATTTCTGGTTGTCATTATAATTTGATGTATAGGGTTTTTTCAACTTAATGTGAGACCGAAGTAATGAACAGTAACACTGGTAGATACTCTATAGGGTTTGTGTACTTGTGCTAATGACATTTCCCTGCAGCCTCAATTTGGATAAAGTTCACTTCATTATGTGGCCGACTGCACTGTTCAACAGCAGTACGGCCACCAGTGTGCTCATAACCGCTAGATAATACATAACAGAGGCACATAAGTAGAACGTTTAGTTCTTAGAAAGCTAGATGACGTGGATTCAGAACATTTCTGTCGTGGACATATTGAAAAGTTACCTGTTTGTACAGCGTTTGATGATGCAACACCAACCATGAGGCAATCTGTGGATTGAGAGTGATATCATCAAAGTATGGAAAGACACAAGACCGGCATCCTAACAGTATAGCTACACCTTATAATTACACCTCGGTACCTTGACATGATTGTCTACAACAGCTGTATACTACAACATCTGCATAGAACAGTCCTTGAGATCTCAAGGTCACAGTGGAGAGTTTAGTATGCTGGCCCTATTGCAAATTTGTCGTTTAAACCGATTTAAAATGTAGTAAAGACTCAACTAATGTCATAAATAAGATACATTCCCCGCTAATTAAACTAATCTTCAAACATTTAATCAAAAACAGGCCGTATCTTTAAATAAAATGCTCAGGAATCCAACCCATCATATCATTAATCCGATGTGACACCAGTGTGTCTGGTCCACGCAGAGCAAAAAAAAAAAAAAGACTCGTATACATATTTAAGCTTTGGCACAAACCTCCTTTTTCCAGGATCAAGATCAAACATTAACCACATTCAGTTTTTCTAACAATATGCATAGAAAAAGGCACGAATCTAAAAACAGCCACAGTCTCCGAGGTCTTGAGCATCTGGTGCCTGTTGGAACCAAATGAATGTTTCAGCATCATCACAAATGCAAAAAATGGAGGTCTTTAGCCAGCAGCAAAAACATTCAACTCCCTGATGTGAACTGATTATTGAATTTTTGCAAGTCTACACCACCTTTCACCTGTCATCCTGCTCGCTTAGTATGGAGTTTGTGTATTACCGCCGGTGAAGCGGAGTGAATTATTAGTTTGGAGATTTAAAGCTTCTTTCTAAAAAAAAAAAAAAAAGAAAGAAAAGAAAAGCCCACAAGTCACGCGAATATGCAGAACAACCCTTTTGTCTCTGCATTAATTAGGTAACTTGTCAAGGCAAACAAGTTAGTGTTTCATGACTGGAAACAAGGTCACATTAATTCATTCATTCAGGTCCCACCACGGCATCTTTCTCTGGTTAATCTCAAACGAGTAAAATATACATTTAAGGTCTAGATTTACTTTATTTTATTTAAGTATCCCAAAGAAGCAGATCAGCTGGTGTCACTCCGTTCGTAACTCTTGAGCCACCGTTTACTGCTGCTACGGAGCCCGTTCCACATGTTCTTTCATAGAAAATGAGATTAAAATATAACTGCTTCGATAGTTCTTTGCGACTGATCTGGCTTTTCATGGCAACTTTGGACTTAATTAGAGCCAGAAAACTTGTGATGTGCACCCAGCCGTGACTGTGCAGCTACGATAATATCTGTTTCTAACCCCTGAGTCTTAAACACTCTCCTCGGGCTACTTCTGTTCAAATTGCCTGTGGCCAAGGAAGGACTGTATAAACTCCCAGCCTCCACCAGGTCCTTATCCTGTATTAGATTCACGTCGACGTTGCAGCGAAAGAGATAATGAAATGTACCAGGTGATACCCTCTGTAGAAAGTAGGGTTTTTTTTTGCTGTACAGATTGGTGTTCTCTTGCCCTGAGGCCACAATTAAGGCTATGCAAGACCTTGTTAAAAAAAAAAACAGTGATTTTGTGTCTATTCAACATGTTAAATCCTTTTTTATCTGAAACATCCCTATTTTGTTCTCCCCACTGGACTCCCTTCACCTTGTTAACGTTTAGATTTAGATACCTTTCAGTCACTTTACTGGATTCTTCTTTAAATATAGCAACGCTCTGTAATGTTGTGTTTATTCGGTTTTACTTCGTAATCTCGTTAAAATGCCAAAAATATTTCCCAGATGTGTATATTTGCTGGTTCTTTGAGACTTCTATGGTGTTAAACCGAGGCTACGTTCACACTGCAGGCAGAAGTGGCCCAAATATGATATTTTTCCTCATGTGATTCTGTTGAATCTGAGTTGGGCAACTTTCCTATGTGGTCCAACTCAGATACAGGTCTTATTTTTTCAGACTAGATCAATGTTGGTCACAATTCTGGGCTGGCCGGAGTCACTCGGTGAACACAAACATGTAAAACAGCTGTGGTAGAGAGTCAGTGGAGGGACAGTGAGGTGTTAGACCCTGTATTTTCTTCAGGTGAGACACAAGCAAAACTTGAGGGGTTGTATTGTAAATGGTCTGTGTTTACTCTGATTCCACATCCACACACACTTCCGTACAGAAGTAGCTCCACAAAATGCCACAGTTAAAAATGTGTCTCTCTCCTAATCTTCATCTGCTCACAAATTCAACTGATAAATAAAACCATACTTACATACTTACTACCGTTTTATTTTAGAACAACGACCTTGGCTGTTCACACTGGAATCTTATCTATGCAACATAAACATTTATAACATAAATAATGTGAACAGCCAAACAAACAAAAAAACCCCAATCTGAGCAATAAATCAGAATTGAGCGCTGAGGCTTGCAGTAAAATACAAGTATGCCTACACCTATTTATTGCTGCATCACACAGTCTGATGAAGAGTTTTTTAAAATTATTTTCTGACATGTTTGCAGTTTTGTACACTGGAGTATCATTTAATTATTCTGTCAGCCAATAATCTTGAAAGTAACTGTTCCAAACACAGTCAGTCCTATCATTCTAAAGCTTATAAAGAGTACGGTCTAGACTTGCTCTGTATGAAATCTTCTCTGAGATAACTCCTGTTATGATTTGGCTGAATCGAACCCAACTCAACTCACTTCAAACCTATAAAGTCTATGCACATGACATTACCATAATGCAGGAGTCGGAGTGGTTCACTCTTCCCTCGGTGACAAACACAAACATTCTGCATGAAAACGTGGTTACAATCCTAAAGAGCTGCGCTACAATGGACGGTAAATATATTCCCATACATACATTTATACTGACCGCTGCAGGCTGCCTGTAAAGCAGAGAAGAGAAGCTTAATGGATCTCTACAAGACAGTAGTTCTCAACCTTTTAGAGTCGCAACCGGCCGGCCCCCCCACCCAAATCCAAGAATAATTGGTCTTACTCAGTGATTCCATCTTAATTGCTTTTCAGCTGTTCCTCTGTGTGATAATTTAATACAAATAATACAAATAAGTTCCATTAACCCTATTTCAATGAAACAGGCCTCCTAACTCTCCTGGTATGACACCAGTGGCGGTGAGGGGCTTGTACTAAAAAGTGGCGTCTATGCATGATTTACAGACACTGGGTTAAATAATTCAGATGTTTTAAATCAAATACAAATATGTTATAAATTCATGTTTCGGATTTTGGATTGGTCACTTCATTTGGCTGGAAAAGCATCAATACAACATGTAACGCCAGAATGCCATTTAGGCTAATCTGCAGCATTTCAGTTAACGCCGTTCTGCTGTAGCCTTTTTAAAGTGCATCTTTGAGGCATAGACAGCATCCCAATGTCACTTAAGGAAAAACTCAGTGAGCGGGTAGTGGACAGGGCGGATAAGCTCTTGTTAGGATGCCATCGTGGCTCTTACCAAAACCAGCCCCCATTTCTGCCGCAGGGCGATGGCGGAGGACGAGGAAGCGAAGCGGAGTGAGGCTTTGCGCCCCAGCAGGCGTGCTGACACATGGCTGCCTGCCTGCCTCGCTCTCAGCTGCAGCGCCAAGGTCAGCCAGCCTCTCGTGTCAAAGTCCACCGTGGAGCGCCGCCTCGGAGAGAAGAAACAGAAACAGTTCAGCTGAGTTTTTATGCCGTAATTACACGAGAACATTTCTTTATGTTTAGCCTGTAGACGAGTATCAAAACCCAAAAAAGATGCAAAATAAAATCATTTTGTTATTAGAATGTGTAAAAAAAAGAAAGCCCCTCACCCACAATGTCCATTTAGTGGCTGTTCTAGAGCTTCTGGTCACATCACATGATCCTCATCTGCAGATTGAGTTTTCCTTTGAATTTTCATGTTTTTCTGAGCACTTGAAGTGTTTCTCATCAATGTTAGAGATGATATGATAGCACTGAAAGCTGCAGAACAGCTACTAAATGGACCTTTTGGTGAGCTCTTTTTCTCAGTTGCTGCTTCCAAAGGTCAAGAATGAAGCCAAAGTGGATGAGAAGTCCTTTAAAAGTGCACAGAAAAATCTAATCATCTACAATTCCATGACAACTGACAACAAAGTCCATCTGCTGACGAAGATCATCCGATATGCTCGAATGCTCCAGAACAGCTGCTAAACTGACCTCATCGTGAGATTGTTTTCCCAGCTAAATCTCTCAAGAAAAGGTGGAATATTTACCTTGAAGTGGAGAAGTCCTGTTAACCTTTCAAAACAGCACGTTCAAATGGTTTTAACTGATCACAGTTCAACTTCAAGTACAAGGTGTGCCACATAAAAACATGTTTAATTTTCATGAAACAGCTTCTGACATAGTGGAAAAAAACTAAAATATCTATTGTGGTCATTTAAAAAAAATCTAAAATCTGGATTTTTTTTTTTAGGGGGGGGGGGGGGGGACATGAAAGAATTGTGCTTACTTGTCTTTCTACCATCACAACTAGAAACCTTTAACTACCTCTCTCCGACTGCACAGACAGGTTCAATATTAATCACAATACGACTTCTTTCAAAAGCTGAAGGCACCTGTGTGTTACCTTTTCTCGTCTATTCTTTTAAAATAGTCACTGCATGTTTTACGATGAACCGAAAGTAGAAAAATAAAGGGTGTGTCCTCTGACTCTAATATAAGGTAGTGGAAACGTTCCTGTTCGTAGGTCATATTCCTGATTTCAGAGAGCTGCTCTGACTGCCGTCCTTCACCGTCGGCGGTACGAGAGTCATGACCACTGCAGGCGTCACTCGGATGCTCCCGCGCTAATCTTGAACTCACACAGCTCAGACGGTGAAGAGGTTCGAGCTCCATGTCTTCGCGGCGAGTTCCGCTCCCAATGTACCAACGGGAGGAGTCTCAATCTCAGTGGGCTCCGGAGCAGATGTTGTCCTCGATCACCGACGCTGCTCCCAGGTCAGCTCCAGAGGCAGATGTTGCTCATGGCCTGGCAGGTGGAGCTGCTCTCTGCAGGAGAGAGGTAGATCTTGCCGCTGGGGCAGACGCACACCTCGTACACCGCCAGTTCCTGGGAGGCCTGAGTGGGCGACGCCGTGTAGATGCCGAGCGGGAGGCTACCCAGCTGAATGGTGTTGGCGTCTAAAAGTATCTGGGAGGGGGAAAAAACATCAGAGACGTGCTGAAAGTCATTCAAATAACATCGCCGGAGGTGCCCTGAAGTGATGTATTACCAACTGGAACTGATAAATGACTGTTGCAGTCAGTAAATACAATGCGACAGGTGGATTGAAAGACAGCAGCACTGATCTGGTGAGCTAGGATAAGCAGTGAAGGAAATAACTTAATCTCTCCATTAAACTGATTTGGAACATATACTAATAATTGCTCATTTTTAGCCATGCTCGCTGTAAGGGATGGCAATGTAAGTCGGCTGGGATTCCAGTCAAATCTCATTCAGACATTCGTGTCCGCCCCTTTAGGATGAATTCTAATAACTTTGCCGATCCCTTAACTTTTTTTATCTGGTGCCACCATCTGGTTAAAAATTTAAATTTGTCCAATACTTCGCTTTACAAGCAAATAACCCAACACAAAAAACAATGACATTCCCATCAGCCTCAGCGATACTTTTTGCTTAGTGGTAATTAAAAACTAAGATGGTGAACATGGGAAACATTAAAGCTGCTATCAGTGTGTCATTGTTATGGTGGCATGCTGATGTTAGCATTTTTAAATTAATAGTTATATGAACCTATTATACTTTAATAAATGGTACCTTATAGAGTTCCACCATTATTAGCTCTACAGAGACAGAAGTGGCTACCCATTATCATGTACATAGACAAGAACACGGGCCATTGTGCTGGAGGCTTTCATGTGCAAGGAACTGCCTCAGTGCACTCACAAAGACAGTGAAGAAGAAGACTGCTAGCATGGAGGCAAACAGTGCAGTGTATTAAATTTCTATGAGGAAGGAAATGCATTCAGCATGACCACAGGGATATGCACAGTGTGTTTTGGTAACACACAGTGAATGTAAAGGTCCACAGGGTACCTTTAACTACAGTCTCCTCTCCTCCTTGAGAGACTTAAGAAATGGAAACTGAATCAAAATTAATTAAAAACAAATAAATAACGGCATGAGAGAGGAACTTTACACTCCCTGCGTAATATCCTCACCTCTCCCTCTGTGGACTCCAGCTGCAGGTCCTTTCGCCCGCTGACCTTCAGCGGCCCCTTGGCTGCGCTCACTTCCACCCCTCTGGGAGCCTCCATGGTCAGGGTCCGCGTCGGAGACTCCAGCCTGATGAGAAAACATGAGCTCAGAGATTCAGTGGGTTCGCACTTTCAGGATGTTTGCTTTATAGCAACTTTTGCCTTTCAGTACGATTTGACAGCTGATGGTACGAGATGTGTCAATGGTTAAACTGATTGTTATTCAGTTCATAGTTTATGACTATCCTTGTGTAATTACTTGTTTAGGGCAGGGTGATGGAATTCAATTGTATTATTTGTTTCACAACAGACCCCAGGCAGAGAGGCATTTAAAAACGGAGTCGAAATATTTCACATTTGAAAAACAACAGCTTATTGATATTTCTGTTTGACTCCTGCAGCATAAATGTATTTTAGGTGTTAGTTATACCGACGACGTCTCCACTTGTGCGACTCTAAAAGGTTGTGGTGTTTAAGCAGCTCTTCTCATTATTCTAATCCAGTATGGCTCCTAAACAGCCCATAATTGTACCAGCTGATTTTGACCTTCAGCAACACTGGGGCTAATGCAATTTGCATTTTCCTCCTGTGGACTATTTGTTTACACAGGGAAAGATAAGTGTGAGAGCCAATCAATGTGGAATTTGTTTTCATAACTCATAACCGTTTCAAATTGATTTCCTCTCCCCCCCATCTTCCCCAAATCTGTTTTCAATGAATTTTAAATGGAAGACTTTAAGGAGCCGTCTTGAAATCACTTAAATCTCCATACCCTCTGAAAGTGACACACATTTCGGATTATGCACTATTGGAATAAGGGATTGGGGGGGGGGGAGCAAATGAATTTCATCTGCATTTGAAAAGCCTCTTTGACTTTAAATCAGCTTTCAGTAGATACAGTTTGGAGAGGATCTGTGAAATGTGCCTTTGACCTGCGACTGCTTATGCCCTAAACCTGAAGAAAGAGATTGATGTCTGCTCGGTTGTTGTTGTTTTTTTACTCTATTTATTCTTTTCTCTCTCTTTATTTTTGTTTTTCAGAGAGAAAATTTTTTTGTGGATAAGTGACAATTAATTGATTGTTAAAAAATTAATTGTTAGCATATTTAACTTTGTAACTATTAAAAAAAAACCATCCTCAGTCAATCTCCCATAGCAACACAACAATCCATTTCTTCTCCCGACCCCCAGCCGTTCATTAGCACGCCACAAGAATCTGTGTTCGAGTCCTCCTCGGCTCTCGCAATAATTATTTCTCAACCATCAACTGATTATCCGTGGCTTGGATGGACGAATCATTAAAAGACCAACTTAAAACACTTTGCACTGAGCTGTGCAGGAAGAAGTTAGTGATATGTGATGCGTATGTGATAGTTTCACTCCATTCAGAGCAGTTCTGTCATCACCCGCCGCGCGCACACACAGCTTCAGCGATACTGCCAGAAGACAAAGTGCTAAATTTCCGAGAGTGCTTGTTTCAGCATAGTTCAAAATAAAGCATTAAATAAATGAAATTAAATTTAAAAATGTCTCTTGGATTTTATAACCATCTCAGACTGCTTTTATTTTCATGTACGGAAAGCTTATGGCCTAGTTCCTGTGGCTCCATCAGCAGCATGAAACCATTTCAACTGACGAGTAAACATTACATTACATTAAAAGTTAAATGAATATAATTTAAATTATATGCAACGCATGAAATTTGACACCATTCAACTGCTGTTTCCACGGTGAAGAATGAACTCTGAACTTCCTCTTTTAAAGCCAACAAAGACTAAAGTCTTGACAACTGAACAAACTAACTGATCAATATCATGCGGTATCATTGAAAGCTCCAGATCAGCACTGAAAATGTTGATTCTCAGTTCTGCTAACATATCGCCATTACATTAATTAAATATTAACTGCATGCCTGTAGACAGATTCCCAACTGCTGTCCACTGCCTAGACTACCAATTTGGCTCTAACTCATGGAAAAAATGGAGACAGTGTTTAGGTCTTTCCAGAAACCTCCTACATGAATTTACAGTTACATTACCTGTCAGTCAACTTCTAGGAAATGGTTGGAAGACTGTGGGACCCATAAAGTGTTGCCAATTAAGACTATATTTGGTTTGTTTTTGAACGCCACAATGTCCAAAAACCTTCAGTTTCCTGAAAGAAAGCTCCATCCTTTACCCCAGTAAGAAGCCTCTTGCACCCCAAATATTCCAAGGCTTCTGGCTCCATCCACAAAACTCTGATATGTAAAGCCCTCACTACAGATAACCTGTGTGGTATTTCGAGCATATCGGCTGTTGACGACAGGCTCTCTCCCATTCTCTGGGAAATCTGACCAGCTTTTCTTGCTGCGTTCAGGTTGACCTTTACATCCACAGAAAGGTCATCGCATCGCAGAGCTGTACAGGACCAAATGTGCTGATGGCCATCTCTGAAGTCACAGTCAATGAGGGTGGTTTAAATACTGCATATCTACTTTGGTAGCTGAGGGGATTCCAAAAGGTGAAAGTCAAGTTTATTTTTATATTCCACTATCACATACAGTCTCTCAGTGGGCTGTACAATGTACAGACCCACAGCAGTGGTTCCACACTGGGTACGTGTTCTCTAACTAGTCTGGGGCATAGAAAGCAATCTCAGTCTAAAAATACAGAACCTGAATAAAACTACCTTTGCAGTTATCCCACCAAGGCCAATTTGTCATTTTTATCTTTATGTTTATTCCGTTTTACATAAATATTCTGTCTTCTTTCATTGCCCTCTGTGTCCTTTATATCTTGTCTTAATGCTTTTTGTTAAAACATTCTAGACAAATAAACCTGGTTTGGCTTTCCATACAAAGTGCAGGTTTATTGGCATGTATCATCAAAGAGTTGGACCTATAAATGAAAAAAAAGTATTTTTGTGGTTCTTGGTTGATCAAATTTCAAAATACAAGCCTGTTGAGTCCTATTTTGATGGTATCATTTAAGACCTTACTATAGCTCAACCAATACTGGACTTTTAAGGCCAAACATTTTTTATAACAATCCCTTTAATTTGGTTTTTAAAGAATTGTGACCAAGCCATGTTCTGAGTGGAATATTTACCATTGTTAAAAGTAAACTTGTCAGTGGACAAACATTGTGAATAGCACATCGCGATTTCTTGATCTTTATCAGCCATATATCTATGTCTATCTGCAATACATCAATAGACGCTGATATATCAGCCTGGAGGATTTATGGCCACGTGACACAAATAACTCACACATACTTAAATATTAGCTACATCAAACATAATAAAAAATATGTTTAAACAAACTCTTTATCCGTCAGGCAAGCTCACATAAAACTATGAACATCAAGTAACAGTAAGACATAAAATCATCCAGCCATCCACATCTAACCAATCATCAATGGTCAGCATCAAAATCTGAGAATCTGATGCTTTTCTTTGTCTTTTATGAAAGTTAATGTCATGCATTTTTAGGTTTGGGACTGTTAGTGAAGACATTATCTTGTGCTCTGGGAGTGATCAGCATTTTTCATTTTATAGACAAAAATCAATAAGAATGATCATTAGTTGTTTGTGATATAGATCAGGAAGTGTACCACCAATGATTTTCTGCCCACTTTAACTATGTGGAGTTTTGACAGAGACTGAACCTTGTGTAGCAATGAAAGATGTTGTTTATTTAGACTGACCGAACATGTAATGTTCTCTGCTGTCCAAACATTTCTGTCATGGCCAAATAAGACTATCGCAATAACAAAGAACCACCATATTTCTCTGCTCCAGCCAAAACTAAAAAGAAAAAAGAACACACTGAGGCTGCACTACATCTCAATCCCACAAAATTGTTGGGAGAAAAGTCTGACCAGAGCTAAGTGGGACCAAGAAGAGTTGTTCTGTTCTGCCTTTATCTTCTTAATGAACCTGTCACTCTCGCGTGGACACTGCCACTGCAGAGGCTGTCCTGAAAATTGTGTGGCTCAACTTGAGAGGAGTATGTGGCTGGCCGTGCTGCAAACAGACTTTAAACCTGAAGAGGAGGAGAGCTCTAGTACCAGAAAGTTGCAGAGAAAAAAAATCAAATCCTGCTCTCTGTTACTGGGCCTGGAAATGTACCATGTGATGTCTGCAGTGTATGAGAGCAGAGAACCTTCAAATCCAGTCTGCCTTTGCTTCTTAATGTCAAACTTGTCTCACTTCAGATTCCCATGTGCTTTTTAAGAAGTAGTTTTATATACAGCTTGCAAAAAAACAAAAAACCCCAAAAACTTTGTTCTTGACACGTTTGAGACCTGGAGATTTTCTGTCGCAGTGATCAGACGTCCATCCACCATCCGTCCCCCGAACACGTCAAGAGAATCGAAGTCTCTCTGAATGTGAACAAACTAGATGACAGGAGTATCACAGTGAAATGATCAGTGATACCACATTGCAAACCAAGAGTCACATCACAGCATTTATCACGCAGCTTCCCCCGGCCTGTTCAGATGGATTTGGGACATCAGGAATCAGAGCACCATCCTCCAGAGTGGGATACAAAATGATCCGATTATGTAATTGACAGAAATATTTTCATATTTAGGCCTGTAATTTCTGGTTGGAAGCTGCAGCTATTATATGAGTGGGCAGCCAAAAAAAAAAAAGAATCCTCTGAGCCACATTTCCGGCAATTAACTATCTTGATTTCTTGTTCTCAAACCCAGCACCGGAGAGGTATTTTGAGAGTGAAACTGAACCGCAGAGGTGACTGTCAGGTGAAGGAGCTGATCAGAGCCTGACAAGAGCTATGACTAAAAGGTAATGAAGCTGTGAGAAGTGAGCAGGACTTGACAAACTGACATGTCTCTCCTGAGGGACTATATCCACTTTATAACTGCGCTGCCCTTGTTTTAGAGACCTCAACGTGAAGGTCTCTATTCCTGATGGCTCCTCAGCACAGGTGCAATTATTCACGAGTCGCCGTGCACAGACACGTTTCCTAGTTTTGGGGGCGTGCAGCTGACAGAGAGGATGGACTGAGGAGGGAAAAAATAAAGTGAAATATAATTCGTAGAGGGACCAAAACACCTAATGGACTATAAATCAGTCACTCTACTTAACTGTTAACCTCCTGCACTCCTGTCTTTGTATTATAATATACACACTTCACTTAAAGCCAAAACAACTAGTTGATTAATCTATTAGTCAAGTGACAAAAAAATAAAGATTCTGGTGTTTTAGACTATTTAAAGACATCACCTCGGCGACTGGGAAATTAGTAATTGTAATTCATTAATGGAGGAGATGCTCATTAGCTGCAGCCCTACATTTCACACACACATCATTCTGTGTATAATAAATGCTGATAATTTATATAATATTGTAGTTTTTTTAAAGTCACCAATCTATACAATGCATCTGTTCTTGTGTGTGCTTTATCTACTGCTATGTAACTGTTTATCTTTTTTATGTAGTGCATGTCTTTCAGACAATAGTTAACTTGCACCAGCAAGTCTTACAATCCTTCACATAACAGTACCTCAATATTAACACTGAGTCTGCATGAAAACAAGAAGCAAAAGAAAACATCAATCAACATTTTAAATGTCTTTGGGAGACAATTAAAGACCAAAAACTGGAAAAAAGGTTTGCCATGCACCCAAACCCTGGTTTAGACCAACTTTAAGCATTATGTATTATCCTGACATTAATGTGAACACAATCAAGTGAAATACAGTTTAAACACAAGAGTTATTAGATTATTTTCATTTTTTAGACTTTAAGCATAGATATTTAAATAATGCTTGTTTGACCAGCACCTATACTGCTCTGCAGAGGATTAGTGGGTTTCCCATTGTATCCGCATCCCTCTTAAACAGCATTCAGCTGTTCTTGTGCATAAGAATCCAGTGGAAATATAAACCTGTACACCTACAGCTCACAAGCATTAATAGGGTAAAACTACAGGAGAAAATAGAAGCAAACACTGACAATGAAGTGCACAAGTAAACTTTAAAACATTAAATGCCAATGGAATCATTATACGCAGTATATTCAGTTATTCAGAAGCAGCATGATGATGACAAATGAAGACAAACTTGAATGTGAGTGTACACAGATAAAGCGCTCGGGGAGAAGAACAGGTGCTTCAAAGAAAAGGAAGATCTCAGGTGGGTTTCTTTGATTTCGTCTCTGCTCTGTTCTTCTCCCAGATTACTGTTGGCTTGCAGAGAAATAAAACACATCACAAAGAGGAAGATACTTCTTTACGGAGGAAAAGAAAGGCGACATGGACGAGAGCCAAGCCGTATCTGTAATGTCCAGAGAGGTTTACTGACAGGTGGCGAGGGGTTTGCAAAGAGGGTTTAACTCACACTTTCAGGGTGGGTAAAATTTATGAGCATGACTGAAAAGTCCCAGAGCCACATATATAAAACAATTCAAAATAAGAAGTCTCTTTTAACACATATGTTGGAGTTTTGTAACAAATCTCCATGTGTGCTTTACAACATCATTAGTCAGAGTCTTAAGTAAAAAAAAAAGAGAAGAATTATGTCATTTTGGTATTGACATGGGTGTATCAGTGTCTAAGAATCTTTATTTCAGTAAGAGTCGGTCTTTTCTGGTACTGTCGCCCTCATTATACAGTGTGATGTCATCATATCGGATGATAAATTCGATTTACACTTGTGTAATCAATCAACAGGCTATTCCGGCTCATAATTTACTGTCTGGCTTTATAATGAAAAAGTGTCTGCTTTGGTACCATTAAAAGGAACCAGAGCTGAAAGAGAGTTGTCACAGGTAGTGCTGATTTTTTTACTCCATGACAGTGACTGGATCTTCATGTCAAATCATATTAAATAGGGACTAATCTGCCAGAAAAGGAAAAGAACTACCAACTGTATGGCCTGTTGTCTGACCATGTTGGAGGGCAAAAGTTTATAGCTGTTCCGAACTAACAAACTCTAAGGTGGAGATGCAATATTGTTTAAATATGGGAATAACTTAAAGCCATTTATAGTGTTGCATTCTTTTTTTACACATTGAAAGTTGTGTAAAAATACCATGTGGCTGTGGACGTCGGATTATCGGTCAGACTTTCCTCTAATTTTTTCTTTTTTTCCAGGCTATTTTCAATGAAATTATCCAGATATAGGGGTGGAAATCACTGTTTGGTTGAACTGATCACAACTGGCATATGAAACGGGTGACGACTGGTCGGCATGACTTTTTAATGAGTCACAAATCGTGACGTTGAGAAGCTCTGGCCTAACTGCATTAAAAGCACAAAGGTTCAATTTCAGGGGTTGGCAATCACCCCCTCCAATGGCTGAATGTAACTTGTCTCAAAACTCAGGTCTGAAATTGGATTGGGAAATAATATTAACATATTTTGTTCAGAGCACACAGGATGAATGTGAAAATGCTAAGGAGTCGTGTGGTTTTGTGTGAGCTTTAAAGGCACCTACTCAATTCATATAAGTGATAGGGTCCATATAAAACCACATTTCTTTGACATACATGCAAGTTTATTTCCCTGAACTTTCCCTCTGATTATTGCTTATTAAGTCAAGAATATGTAAACTTGTAGAGAAATACTTTGGCCTGCTTTACTTTTTTAGAATTTACAAGCTTAAGAATTTAAATCATCAAACTCCCAATTTATGATACCTTACCTTGTGATAAGACAAATTACATCACTCTAAAAATCTGAAACATAAAATTCTGAAAGTGAAATTCACAGCCAGGAACCATTACTATGCAGAGAGTGTGGTTTGGGTAAAATGCAAATGAGAGACAAAAAGACATCTAGGCATGTATTTAAACTGAACAAAATGTTGCTGGAAAGGTTGGAGTCTATCAAATATTATATAACCTTTGTTTCACTATATATTAACATATCACATGATATGGGGAAATCCCTTATAGATCCAACAACAATATGGAACAGCTTTAAAAGTACCATTGCAGTAATGGCAGCCTGTGTACTTTGCCCACAGCCAAATTAGTCTATAAACAGACGCTAAGAATGGAAAAAACAACATGATTAAAAAAAAAATGTTGTTAGGCTTGAATTCATATCATTAATAGCCCACATGATTGAGTTTTCTCCATTTTGCTTTTTTTAATACTACTGTATGAAGATTCTTTGACATGGCGTTTGGAAAATAAATTGGGTTTAGATAAAAGGAACATTTATTTAAAGTCCTGACAGTACAGTTTGTACATCTTGCTTTGCAGCTTGTTTGGAAATATTTCAGTGAGGGAAGCCAGTCATTTCTGAAGCAGCCTGAAAAAAAGATGGATTTTTTTTTTTAAATGTTGTTTGAAATATGATTTAAATTAAACCCCACAAACAGAATCAAACTTTGACAATACGTAAATTAAACATCTTTGATCAAATATGCATTTGAATAGAGGAAAATCAGAATCCCATTGACGCAAACATGTTGGAGCTTTTTGAGGTTTTAACTGTCTCCCGTTCGGTTGCCTCTTGTTAAGATTTTGACCACATTGCAGATGGTCACCCCTGAGCTGAGCCTGTGTGTGTGTGTGTGTGTGTGTGTGTGAGAGTCCTGTGTGTGTACGTGTGCTTGCTTTAAAGTGAACCTCATCAGTATTCCTCTCACTCTGGAGGAATTAGATGCCAGAACACTGCTTTTTCTGCCAACTTTGATCCCAGCGCTCCCTTCAGGACCAGTAAGGTGGACAACAAACCAAACTCGTTATAGCTCGTTAATGGACCGACACAGGGCTCAGAGCCTCAGGCGGAGTGCAGTGGGTATCACATGCATGGGCGTGTACGGGTCTAATAAGCACCTCAACCTTACCCACTTTCTCCATGCTCTCTCGATGCTTTAATCAATTCCTGACTGCTATAGAGAATAACTAACAAATTAGCTCACCCCTCGGCTGTGAAATTAATATAATGGTCAAATCTAGTTTTAAATTTGTGTGATAACGAGCCCTACCAGTAGTAGTTAACAGGACGGTGCTTGAGAATAATGATATTGGTGAATAATGGTTCCTGCCACGTGTTTTTTTTTTTCCCCCACAGCGTACGCATCGACTTTGAAATGCCATGGAACATTTATCATCATCATTTAAAGATCTTCATTTTAATTGAACAGGATATGAACATGTGACATTAAGCTTTAATGAATTTCTGTAAAGTCAATGAATATGAACTTACTTAAGGTCTTCAGAAGCCCTCGCCCGGATCAGGGGAGTTTCTACTGAATGTCCAAACACGGCGCCTTCTGAGCCTGCCGATAAAATGTACTTTTATGATTCACAAAACTGCAGCCAACATTTACTGAGGCTTAGTATCAAACCTCAGTACTTTTTTGGCACTCATTATCAAAAACTCTTAGTTCAGTTCAAACGAACTCTGGAACTTCTCCTACTATGACGAGTCAAATGTCTGTAAAAAAAGGAATATTTATTTGCTCTGGTGTCACAAAGAAGAGCTCTTGAAGAAACAGGCTGTGAGCATCATTAGTTGAGACTGCAACTGGAACTCATATGTGATGACTGACAACTAAATACAGGATGGAGGGGACAGTCACTGTGTGGCCTCCACATTTCACTTGACTCACGTTTTAATGGGGAACTGCCAAAATACACACCTTTGTTTTCACTCCTTTTCCCTTTCTGGGAATATCCTTGCAATTAAAATTCAGATGCTCATTACTATGGTTACCAAATGATCTTGATTGCTTTCCCGGCCGTCCCCGTGGTCAGCACATGGATCGCTGTCAATTTAAGTTTAGCTTATGAATTCACACTAAAATTGTGCCATCACGAATGCACGTGGTTGGTCTATTCTGAATTTAAAAGCAGGAATGAACTGCACTGCGATCCGTTTTTGAGTCCGCCCCAGAGTTCGATTGACAGCTTTCTTATCAGCCTCTTCACATCTATCAATAAAATCGAGGCTTCTGCGATTTGCGTATTGCACGTGGCCGCTTCTGCAATTTGCAGTCGTAAAGACAAAATATAACATTTGATAAGTTGGTTTTATTTTGGACAGATTTACATTTCTCAGACATCAGTAGAGTATGTTAGAGTAAGTTCAGAGTACAGCACATTTTACCTGTGATGGTGAACTTTTCGGTTGTCATGATGACCTCCTCCTCATTTGCGGTGAACAGCAGTCTGCCTCCGTCTTTACTTCGTACCTCCAGTCTCTGACACTGGGCCTCCACAGCCTCAGGTCCTTCAGAGAAAGAGAGAGAGAAATGTCCACACTGGAGCTTCTGGCTTTCACCAAAAAAAAACCCCACTACAAACACTGCTGATTGCACTTAAGCAAGGTGCTGGGTG